CCTACACTCAAAACATGGACATGCATGTGACAATTGCCATGAACTCAACTCAAAATCCAACAATACTAACATGCATGCATGGATTATGCTCTATTTCAACATATGAAGCTATTTCATGGCTCAATTCTCAACTCAACTCAACTCTACAATTAATCATGAATCATGCAAGAATGAACTTAAATTCCACAATCAAAAGGTTGAATTCCTTACCTAAAGCTTGAAAGGCAAGTCTAGAACTTCAATTATGCAAGGGTCCTCCCAATCTACTCAATCTGCAAGCAAACCAAGCCAAATGAGATGAAACTAACTCTCTCTCTCTCTCTCTCTCAAGGTCGGTTGTGCACAAGAAATGGGAGAAGAAATGTTGATTCAATGTATAAACACAAGTCTCAAATGTTGCCTAAGTGATCCACTAGGGATGGCAAGGTTGTAATTAAGCCGACTATTGCAATTAGACGCATTTCAATCTAATTTAATCATACCTACTCAGTTTTCAGATAAATATACCATAAATTCACATTAATTCTACTGATCAAGGCACACTAATCAATTTCGGATTCGGCCGCCGATAAGGCCTTTAATTAGCAGGTTAAACACTAAAACATGAACAGATCAAATAAACAATCAAACAGATAAAATACCGATTAACATACATACTCAGTCAATTCAGTTCCAGTTTTCAGTCAGTCAGTTCAGTACTTTAATCAGTTCAGTTATCAGTCATGTAGTGTAAGACATTGATCGTTGTATCCTGAGAGATAGACACCCATTGAATCCTAAGCACCAGTGGCAGGACGAATCTGTCTTAAGGAGAGAGTGTCACACACTCAACTCGATCAGGTTTTATGTATTTATGTACTATAAAGTTTGTTACGTTATTATGTCATTTTTATTTCAATTTTGGTTTTGCCCAAAACCTGTTTACGTATTTTTTGAATTATATTTTCCATATAGTTTGGTACTATTTTTCTAACATTTAGATCAAAACAAAAATTAGTTATTTTGCAAGAAAATCCAATCAATTCGTATGTATTAATATGTGAGTTTGAAAAACCATAAAGTAGAAGGAAAATTACTCTTATATATATGTTCAGATATTTAAACATTAATTAAGTGTTAGGCCCCGTTTCTTTTTAGAAGTAGAATGAAGGGGATTCATAGTGAAAGGATTGATAGTGAGGGGATTAAATAAAATTATGTTTGTTTTGATGATAGCTGTTGGTGTAGGAATTGTTAAATTATTTTTATATAAAATAATAAACAAATAAAAAAAATACAAAAATATTAAACATTAATGTTCAAAAAAAATGCCCAACATGTAAAATATAAAATAAAATAGAAAAAAAAAAACAAATAAAACTATGATTTTTACTTAACAAAAAATAAAAAAAAAATTAAACATTAATGTTAAAAAAAATGCCCAACATGTAAAAATAAAATAAAATAAAATAAAAAATAAAAAAAAAATAATTGTCCGGCAAACTATTTTTCTAATACCAGGTCCCAAGCTTCCATCCTAATACCCTCCCCAAGGCCTATCCTAATCTCTTGAATCTCCTCTCCATCTCCCAAAACAAACATAATATATAGTGTGTCCCACCTCCATCTCATTCCCAATCGCAACTCTAACTCCCTAAATAAACGGGGCCTTACCGTCAAATTTTTCATTGCCGGTGATTTTTTCCAGCGACCTTTTCTTGCATATCTTCACTACCAATCAAGATTTTACTTTGAGTTTAATGATTTATACCCATTTGGGATGGACTTTCACCAATTTTCTATATGGCTTAAAATTGCACTCGAGTTAAGTGTTCAATTCATTCTCTTCCAAATTGTGGTTGACAATGTATTCAAAAAAAAAAAATTTTGATTTGGCATCTCTTATCTATGCAGCCAATACGGCATTCAATAAAGTTGTTGAATTGTATATGTTTTTTTAAAACTTTGTTACATGGGTATAGGATTGGACATAACTCTTTCAGATTTAGTGATATTTAAATATTTAGGATTTAAATTATAAATTTGGTTAAGAATTTGAAAAAGATAAAGAAAAATGTAAAAATAATGCGAATAAAATTTAAATTAATTTTTTTTTTCCTATAATATTCTATCTGATTCTATAACTAATTCTGTACACTTACAAGTTTTCATTTTTATTTGAATCAGTTGAATAAGAACTAATGTTGAATTATAAGTTATTAATTATGTAGATTAGTTGGGTCAGAAATTTCATTGAATCACCATGTGAAATTTCTTGTCCTTCAGTATGGCAATAACTTGACCAATTATTAAAGATGATAGACTCAACTCAAAATTTTAAATTCATCTAATTAAATTCATTTAAATTTTATTTAAATTCACTTTAAATAATAATTTAATCTAATAAATTGTATCTTATAAATCTAATAAAAATTTAATTTAATCATATAAATCTTACCAACGTTATATTTTCTATTTTTCCTTATTTATAAATTATGTCATCTCCATTAAAATAAATAAATAATATAAATCTTTCAATTTTTTTAAATTGATTTATACACAACTTACATCATAGTGATGTGATCATTTGCTAGCTCCAAAAATTTACTTTCATGTGGTTTCAAAATTGGAATGCGAAACCTCTTTAAATTATTATTTTTGTAGAAATCTAAAAATTTTATTTCACGTTATTCCAAAATTGTAATACGAAACTTCTTTCAAACTATCACTTTATACGTCTTAATATTTAAAGGAAGCATTTTTATATATTTTCTACATCTTAATATTTTAATTTAAAATTTATTTTTTGATTTGTATGTAATATTAATATTTAAATTTTTTGTAAATAAATTATTAAGTGAATTAATGATTTTTAATGATATGAGAAATATTTTTCAATGAATAATTTTGATAATTTTATTGTTGTATAGGAGAGTAGTTAGAATTTTTTTTTTTTTCTGTTTGTTTAGTTAAATTAAACAAAGAGTAGTAATAATGGAAACTTTTTAATATTAAAACTGAAATTCTTACAGATGAGTAGATCAATTGCAAAAATATTTATTTTCTTTATATATTTTCATGATTTTTGAATCTAACAAAATTTCTTTCACCCACCGTTCATGAGAAGGTAATGGATGAGACAAATATCGAACAAGTCATGGTAGTGAAATTATTAAAAAAATAATCATATTATAATATTTGAAGGTATTTGATATTTGAATGCTCGCTGTTTAGGAGAAGGTAGTGGAGGAGACAAAAAAATTACTTGCACCCACCGCTAGTAATAATATAAAGTTTACTTGCATTATTCTGATAAATTAGATAAAATCAATTGTTTTACAAGAATAGATATATACGTATATATTTTTGTATGATCACAACCAAACGATGTATAAATAATTTTTTTTAAAAAAAAAGAAAAAACAGAAAGAGGAGAGTTTGAGGAAGAGATGAGAAAGAACAATAAAACAATACACATCCCAACCGGATACAAATTGTAGACCAAGTCAAGGACTGATCAACAAGTTCCAGAAGTAAGATGCATGATCTAACTCTAGTTTCATGCTTATTATTGTTTAACTCGTCAAGGTATTTGATTGATAGTAAATTGTAATGTTTCAAGTATTTGGTTATTTTTAAGGAATTTGGTTTTTAAAAATGTTTGAATTTCAAAAGATGTATGTGGTTATTTGTGATTTTATTGATATTTAACATGTTTGAAAGGGTATTCCTAGGATACGTAAAAAGTAGAAAATATGACAATTTTTGACACTTTTATAATAGTAGTAGATTATATCAATTTAATCTAGATATATTTAAAAAGTATAAAATTTATATGATTTTTTTTTAAAAAAAATCATTCAATATAACAAAATAAGATAATGTATTAAATTTTTGTATTTTTACATTTGGTGAATTTAAAAAAAAAAATCACAAAATATTATACTTCTTAAGTCTAGCTATAGGAGTGTAAAAATGGTACGTAGCCTGTGGACGGCCCAAAACCGGCTCACGGCCTCGGTGGGCCCTACCCGTTTAGGTTCTTGTGGGCTCGGGCCCGAGCCCAGCCCGAGCTCCTAAGCCTGGGCCTAGGCTATCATTTAGAAGCTTAGCCCGGCCCGTGGCCCAACCCATTGGCCCGCTTAATTTTATTATTTTAAATATATAAAGATTAAAGAGTAAATATATCATTTTAATCTAATAAGAGAAAAGTATAATTTTTCAAATATGAAAAAAAATCTGTATTAAATAGAAATTTCAGGAAATATAGCGTAATTTACCTTTTTATTGTGATGATGTGAACTTTATTCTGGTGGAGAAGTTATTGCAATTTGCATAGCCTTAAAGTATTGGGTCCTGCTTAAGTGTGCAACCCCCTTAAGGTTGCACACCATATGCAACCCAATTGTTAGCCGTTAGATTACAATAATTGATCAAGACCATTGAGTTGTTTAATCGTGAAAAAGTTGAAACCGAGGCAACCGGTTAATGCTTGTATTTGCATAATTGCATCCCACTCACTCTTTGTATTTTGTCTCTATCTCTCTCTGTTCTCCTCTCTGTGTAAGGTTGAGTCAGTGTAACTGTTGATTTCCATTAACAGGGAGAAGCCCCTGTTGGGTTCGTTCCATTGACGAAGCTCTGTAGGGAACAGTATAACGGGCGATTTCCAACAACAACGTAACTACAAGGTTGTGTTGGTTCCATTGCTGAAGTGAAGCCCTTCTCTCGAACTAGATATGAGCTATGGAGCTGTCTCCCTCTCTCTGTCTCCCTCTCTGTCTCTCTGGCCCGTTCACTTCAGCTATTTTCCCTCAACTAAACCCCCATCCTAACTTCAACCGCTCTACGCTTCGCTCCTACGGAAACCCCTCCATTGGCAGCTAACCTTTCTCTTTTTCTTTCTCAAGCGAGTGTTTGTGTTTGCACAAACAGCTAAACCGTGTGAAAATGTCATGTTTGTGTTTGTGTTAACAATTTTCGGTCATCAAGTAATTGTTTGTAATAATGTCATGTGCAGTATGGCCCCAGCGGAAGTTAAAAGGGAAGGTGATGATTATGACATTCCAAATGAAGCAGATGACATTCATTTGATGAATGAAAGTCGGGCAGAACCTGATCATGGTTGCGAAGCTGGTCCGAGCAATGAAGAAGCAACCAACATGAACGTTGAAGATGGCGGAGCCGATGTGAAAAAAGAAATGGTTGACGATGCTCATCGCAATGACATTGTTGGTGATGTTTAACGTGCTATTCTGGAACAAAAATTTGATTCGGTCGAAGATGGAGAAGATTTCTACAATGCGTATGCTAAAGCCAAGGGATTCAGTATACGAAAATCCAGATTTAACAGAAATAAATTCGTTAGTAGGTTGTGGTTGTGTTCAAGGGAAGGTCAGAGATTACCAAAATACTTGGACCGTGTTGCTGAGAAGAGTACAGCTCCCAAGGCACTAACAAGAGTAGGTTGCAAAGCCCAATTTCACATACGGTACGATGCGGATGCTGGTGAAGGGGGAAAGTATGTTGTGACTCACTTCGTCGCAGACCACAACCATGAATTGGAAGAACAACACTGTGTGATGTATCTGAGGTCACATCGCAGTTTAAACAGCGCTGACAAAGCTCAAGCAATGGCTATGCGCAATGTCGGTGTGAAGACTAGCCAAATCATGGACTATATGGAAAATCAGTCCGGGTCTTATGAGAATGTTGGTTTCATCCGTACGGATCTGCACAACCATATTCAAGCCGAACGTAGAGTAGAAGTTGAGGATAGTGATGCGCAGGGCGCGTTGGTTTACCTATGCGCAAAACTTGATGTTGATGCACGTTTTTTTTACAAGTATGATGTGTGTAACGATAACAAGTTACAAAATCTGTTCTGGGCAGATTCGAAATCGCGGGCCGACTACGCAAAGTTTGGTGATGTGTTGATATTTGACTCAACTTACAGAACCAATGCATACAAGAAACCGTTTGTCATGTTGGCTGGTGTGACTAGCCACTTTAGGACCACGATATTTGCATGTGTTTTGCTAGCTAATGAGACAATTGAGACATACACATGGGTTTTGGAAACATTTATGGAGGCGATGGGCAATAAAGCACCTGTGTCCGTACTGACAGATGGGGATAAGTCGATGCGAGAGGCAATCAGAAGAGTATTTCCAGATGCAAGACATCGATTATGTAATTGGCATCTTGGGAAAAATGCTGTTTCAAATGTTCACATAAGTGGCTTTGCACATGCTTTCAAGCAGTGCATGGACATGAATTGGCATCTTGGGAAAAATGCTATTTCAAATGTTCACATAAGTGGCTTTGCACATGCTTTCAAGCAGTGCATGGACATGGAAACGGATAAGACAAAGTTTGAGCGTGGCTGGACGACAATGGTCGAAAAATTTGGACTTCAAACCAACAGTTGGGTGTTGGAGACATATGAGAAGCGTCATATGTGGGCTGAGGCATATATGCGTAGACATTTCTTTGCTGGGATGAAGAGCACTCAGCGCTCAGAGTGTATGAATGCTTATTTCAACCCCTTCCTCCAACACAAATTGAAGCTATATGAATTTGTTAGGCACTATGATCGGGCTCTTGCAAGGATAAGGTATAACGAGGCTGGAGATGATGCTGAAACAAATAACAATTTTCCGGTATTAATTACTCCATTGCGAGATATAGAGAGACATGGAGCTGAGCTATTCACCCGAAATATATTTAGAATGTTCCGTGATGAAATCTTAGAAGAAGGGAAGTTGAATGTCAAGGACGTGTTCCCTTTGCCGGATGGTCAGAAATGCTACTATATTCATAAGTACAAAGTGAAGGACAGATCATGGATAGTAACACACAGTCCAATGGATGCTGCAATGAGATGTTCTTGCATGAAGTTTGAGTCGTTGGGGCTACCTTGCTGCCACATGATATGTGTTATGAAAGCTGAAAATTTAACGCAAATTCCCCCAACTTGTGTGCTGCATAGATGGACAAGGGCTGCAAGCAAGAATGGCCAGCAATGGCCTCAACCCTCAATTGATAGCACTACAACACAGACGGCCCGGTATGGGATATTGTGTTCTTCCTACAACGAAATGTGTTTCTATGCCTCGCAATCAACGGAAGGTTTCAAAGAGGCTAGGGATGCATGTCTTCCGATGACGAGCTGGATGAAGGAGCTATATGAGAGGAATTTGAACGGTGGGAATGGAGACAAGGGAAACATTCATTCTAACGACAATTTGGAGTAGAAGATCCTGATGTTGTGAAAACAAAAGAGAACCCAGGACGGGCCTCATCCAACTGTCGAAGACCAAGAAAATGTGGAAATTGCAAATGCATTGGGCACACAAAGCGAACGTGTCCTAAGGTTCGGTTTAGTCGAACAGTGGGTACTAACTCAGATGCAGATACACCCCACATAACTGACCGTGAGTACAATGCGGAGTCATTGCCCGTTTGCTGCAAAATTGGGTTGGTGGATCCAAGTACACCGCACATTAAGCAACGGCGACTATTTTTCGATGTTTCTCCTAATTCCAAGCAGCCTGTGGGCCAATACGGTAGTGTTGAAGCAGCAGTGTGGAAAAATGATTCGAACACAATTGATGAGGTGAATCAGGTAATTGTATAATTTGTATGATTTACTTATTCACTTAATTTATTAGGTAGACAGTACTAGCTATTGAAAACACATGGAAATAATGTATGTAGTTTTCATTTTGCACGGATTGTTTTACGTAACATGTAAATAATTGGTTATGCACAATGCCAGGAAATGGCACAACGTTACTTATGTACAAGGCCATGAGTTGTAAATTTCTCATATTGTTTAGAGTGATGTTGTCATTTGTGTTTGCAGTGACTTGTCATTTTGAAAACTAATTGAATGTGAGGTGAGATATATATGGGTTGTCTGTGTATTGTTTTCGGTGGGAAATTGGCTTATGTCTGTATTCCAAGATTCCTATTGCGGGTTGCTTGTTTCTGTTCCATATTTGGTTGGATCTAACTGAAGGGTTTTTTGCGGTGTGGTTTATCAACTAACTATGTGTTTCGCTTCGTATTGATTTGTTGTGAAATTATTTAATGTTTACTATGGAAGTATGAGTTTATTGTTAGTAAAATTATGATGGGCCTATATCGACAGCAACGAAGTAGTAATTTAAAGTTGACAAGTTCAAGAAGAAAATCAAGCAATTGTGGTATTGGTTCAAATGCCTGCAATGGATGAAGACTTCTTTCGATGAAGTGATGGTAACAAAGTAGAAAGTAACAAAGTAGAAAGTAGAAAGTAGAAAGTAAGTTGTTGTGTTGTTGTGTTGTTTGTAACAAAGTAGAAAGTAGAAGGGAAAAAACTACACAGAAGTTACAATGTAGAAAGTAAGTTGTGTTGTTGTTCATGTCCTCTCTCTCTGCAAACATTCTGCCCTTTATAGCTATAAAATTTCCACGACCCCATGATCTGCCAATTCTGCAACTGCTTCTGTGCAACTTCTGTATCTGCACGGTCATTTCCGTGTATTGAAACCACATAAAAGCTTCACTTGTACCTGTCGAAGAGCATATAATTGAAGTTGCCACCTGTGCCCAGGTCCTTTTAGCCTTTCCTCGACAGATATAGACTCCCAATTCGTTCATGTTTCCTCTTGGAGGCTGGCCACTAAATCCATGAGCACTGCCAGTAACTGCTCCAGCGTGTAAGTCAGGTGGCATGCAAGATTCAATGTTAGTTGAATGGAGCAGCTGTTGGGAGGATGTGGGAAAAATTGGTGCAAAGAGGAATTTTTAATCTAATATCCAATCAGAATGTAGCTGAAAATATGAGTGAACTTTTTTTTTAAAAAAAGTAGTTCCCATTTTTTTGATTATAAACCCGAGATGCATATTTTGTTTTTGATATAAATAAGTTGTGTATTTTCGTTACGTAAAATGTAGGACAACAATTGTGTTTAAGTCATTACAATACAGAAAAAGGTTATTTCAAACGTATTTTCAAGTTTACCGACATTGAATATATTTTGATTAAATTACAGGGAAAATTCAATATTTGGCAGAGTTTGATGATTCATAGTCAAGGGCAGTAACAGTGAGTGGCCAAGTGTTGCGGTTCAGTGGCCCAGTTTGCAAGGATTGTGGTTGTGTTTAGTGGACAATATTCTGTCGATTTTTGTCTCATAATGATGAGGGACATGCCCCACAATGGTGAAAAGGAAGGTCGACAGGGAAGCATCAATATTTGGCAGAGTGAACGTGAAGATTCGAAGTCAGGGGGCAGTTACAGTCGCAGTTATGGTGTAGACGTGTGGGATCATGCAATGATAGGCCACAAAAACAGTATACGGATATCGAAACCAACGATCTCCATTCTAGGCGTTCCAAGTATACTAAACCTCTACTTCTATCTGTCGATCTCCCTTTTCTTGTGTTTATTTCATGGCCACCAACTGTTTGAAACTTCTGTTGACAGAGCAAGGCTTCTGCTTTGTCTCATGCTTCCTCCTGAAAGTATGCCCACTAACTCATAATGATGAGGGACATGCCCCACAATGGTGAAAAGGAAGGTCGACGGGGAAGAGTCAATATTGGTTTTCAGGGGACTTGAAGATTCGAAGTCAGGGGGCAGTTACAGTGGCAGTTATGTGTAGACGTGTGGGATCATGCAATGATGGGCCACAAAAACAGTATACGGATATCAATACTAATCCTCCACTTCTATCTATCGAGCTCCATTTTCTTGTGTTTATTTCATGGCCACCAACTGTTTTAAACTTCTGTCGACAGAGCAAGGCTCCTGCTTTGTCTCATGCTTCCTCCTGAAAGTGTGCCCACTAACTCCATGACTGGTGGTAAAAACTTCCCCTATCACTTCTAGGTGACCCACATGCAGAGAGCCCACTTTCAGGTTGTGGACATTCCTTCAGACTTGGCCACATGCCCTCGATTAAGTGGACCATCTGTCGACAGAGACTGGAAAAACTTGGTGCAAACAATGGCCCCCATGTTCAAGTTAAATATTGCGGAAGTGATTGAAACCCCCTCCAATCACCACCTGCACCACCCCCAGCCCCCCCACACATACACGTGGGGGTTGTTGATTGGAGAAGGAAAAAAAAAAGAAGAAATTGAAAAAAAAATTAAAAAAAAAAAGTGGCCAATCAGAGAGAGAGGGGGTCATGGGGGTCCCCCCTTGTGAGGTCCAAGTCATATGATATTTAACTTCAACGAGGGGGCCATTGTTTGGGTCCAATAGCAAATTTCTTAATACGGGCCCAAAACAAACATAAAGTACAGCCCAATATAAGAGCTTTTAAATATACTGGCCCCATCATAACCTATAAAAGACCCACCCTTTCAACTTCAAACCACTTCATTTCCCTCTGATTCGAACTCCCCAGACTGTACTCCTTCTTCTCAACCATTGCCGTTCAAAACCAGAGCACCACAAAACCCTAAGCCATGGCGCCGAAAAAATCTCAACCATCTCCATCTGAGGAGAACAATAAAGACCTACTCCGCTTCCCAGACCCTATCAGAGCACGTATCGCTCCTCTAAAATTTGGTGCAACCCTATTGCCCAGCACAAGCTCTATCGCTAAGGCTACTCTAGGCCCTACCTTCGCGTCTTACTTCCCAGACGAGCTAGCTCTATACTATCCCCTTGGTAATGGTGAGAACCTTCTTTTCAACCAAGCTGGACTCAAGTGGACTAACTGGAATGTCAGCAAAAACCCACTCAGAGGGTGGAGGTCACCAGACTCTGATTGGCGAAGCTGGGCCAGGAGAATTGAAGGTCACGACGCTGAAGTATAGAAGCACCAGGGCATTGGTGAAGCAATTAGACTGTCAACTAAAATTTATGACGTGGACAAAGGACTGATTGCTGCTGCTGCATGCTTTTGGTCGCAGTCTAGTAACTCCCTACTCCTCAATTTTGGTATGATTTCCCCTACCATCTTAGATGTAGCTCACTTGACTAGCCTCCCAATCTTGGGCAATCCAATTCATGCTCTCCTTGAGCCTTCAAAAGTGACATTTACTTTAAACACTGACATGTGCTATACAGATTTTGCCAAAAAATACCAAGGCAAGCCTGGTTCCCCTGTCGATGATAAAGAAAGAACTGCTTTTTACTTACTTTGGCTTTGTGAGTTTCTTTTTTATGTCCCTGGGTACAAGATCACGAAAGAATACCTCCCCCTTGCCTTGTGTATGCAAGACGGCCAACTTATGGCTTTAGCCCCTTATCTTCTTGCCACCCTTTACAAGGCCCTATTTTCCTTTGTCGACAAGAAGATTTCTGGCAACTGTGGTGACCCCTTCTGGCTCTTCCAGGCCTAGTTGTATGCCTATTTCCCTGAGGCATGACCCCCACCACCTAACACCTTGAAACCTGTTTGCTACTCCTATGCTGAGCAACTGCTCACTTATAACAGCCAACCCATCCTCACTTTCAGAAATCATCTTACCATGTTTTACAACCTTCCTTCGCAAAGACCTTTCAACCTGTACATGCCATTTCAAAACTTTGAATTCTCCTCTAGTAGACTTCGCTTCCTCTTCACAGACCCTTCTGATTTACACAATGAGCAAGTCCAAGAACAAAATGAGAGTTGGAGACACATTCTCACCTCTAGACATGTCTTGGTTGGCTGTTCCATATCCTCCGCCAAGATGTCCAACTACAGTTTTGAGACATACTGTCCCAATCAATGGTCCAGGCAATTTGGTCTTTCCCAGGCTATCCCTTATCCTTATTTCCAACCAACCATCCATGAGGAGATTGGGTCCAGAATCCACTTGAAAGATCCTACACAAGCTGAATCCATTCTGACAGAGAACACCAAAATTTTCCAAGATTTTGGCCCTTTCTTCTTCAAACCTGCTTCGGACTGCTCAGCTGCTTTTGATCATTGGTGGGGACTTACGTCTGCCATTATTTTCTGCAAGCCACTTGAAAGCTGCCTTAACGATACTTGTATTCATATTCATCTGTCGAGCTCCCTTTTCTTGTGTTTATTTCATGGCCACCAACTGTTTGAAACTTCTGTCGACAGAGCAAGGCTCCTGCTTTGTCTCATGCTTCCTCCTGAAAGTGTGCCCACTAACTCCATGACTGGTGATAAAAACTTCCCCTATCACTTCTAGGTGACCCACATGCAGAGAGCCCACTTTCAGGTCGTGGACATTCCTTCAGACTTGGCCTTTCGCATACTCAGACACTTATTGTAATTATGGTGTTTACTTGCCACTTGTCATGCATTAGGGTTTAAATACTCAGACATTTATTCGGACACTCTTGTATGACTTCCCGTGCATTAGGGTTTAAACACTCGAACACTTATTCCGACACTCTCTCATGATGGCAGATAAGTAATTTTGGTGTTTATTTGCCATTTCTCATGCATTAGGGTTTAAATTCTCGGACACTTATTCGAACCCCCTTGCATGATGGCAGATACGTAATTTTGGTGTTTACTTGCCATCTTACTTTTGTGCAGAGAAAAAGAAGGAGATTACTCCTTGCTGCTGCTGATGATGACGATGCTTCCACTTCTCCTCAATACATTCATCAAATTTCCAGTCCAATCAGCAATGTACCCACAGAACCCACTGTACAACCAACTCCACCACCACCTGAAGCATCGCAACAAACTCCCTTACAACCTGCTTCACAGTCTTTGCCACA